TCAAAGTAAGGTCACTTTTGTTAGATGAGGCGACAACAAACACGACCAGTCATGTTCCATAACAGCCCGCGCTCATACAAAATCTCCACTGACGGGCGAAATTGTAAGAAAATACATGTTCGCGTAATTACTTTCCACCCTGTAAATCGGTCAAGTGGTTGCTGAGATATAAGCCTCGCAAAAGCGTCCGCACGGCCGGCAGGTGCATCAATTCTACACATGTTGTAAATAATTTCAGACCAAGGTCATTCAAGGTCAGGTCACCAGGTCACTTGAAGTGACCTCACCTCATAAAAAGTTTCAATGTCTGTCATAGCTACACCGAGTGACCGATCGCTTTGAAACTTTCAGCGATTGCTAAGAGCAATAGCATGTACAAAACGTATATCTCAGAATTTTGATATCGATGACCTAAGGTCAGGTCAATTTTGCGACCTCCCCATTATAAGTCAATGGGAGAAAATTGAAATGCGCCTCTTTTGGACGAAAGACATTATAAACACTCCCAAAGACCAGGTTACAAGTGGTTTAGACACACTGAACATGAAAATGGTGTCCGTGACCCTTGTTTGTGCCCTGAGGTCATCTTAAGTCACGAATGGTATCTAACAGTTTTTCGCAAATAACTTTTGATAGAGGCATGCTAGAGCGATGAAAACGCCTTATATGTGTTCAGCTCACGATACGGATCGACTGATATGCAACATGACCCTTTCCGGTTAGGTCATGACCTTGACCTGAGGTCAAATTTTCAAGTTGACCTTTCAAGGTCAAGTTATAGTTCATTCGATGCGTCTTGACGAGAGGAACACGATGCCGGTAAAAGTAAGCTCGTACAAGACTTGGGTCAAAAGTTATTGCAGAAAAACTGTTTCCGAAAAAATCGGCTATTTTTGCAGTTTTTGCCCCCTGCAGGCAAAACCGTTGACGTTAGGTCAAATCTGAGAGAATTACTCAGAAAGGGCGTTAATAGGGCTATCGAATGCACTTTTCCGCGGCGCTGTAGCTCTATTGGTTCCCGAGTTATGCGTTAGCTTCTTGGAAATTTTCGACATTCGACCTGGAAATCGGCGAAATTTTGCCTTTAATGACCTCTGGTGACCTAACCTTTGGCCTGACCAAAAAATTGACCGAAGTTATTTCCTCATTATTTTTTACGCTCTTTCGAACACCGCCTTCCGCGTATCGCTACGTGGCCCAGGAGCCGAGTTACAAGGGGGGGGGGGTGTTCAAACACCCCCCAGCAGGGCGTGGAAATCCAGGACCCCCAGCCGGGCGCGGGTTAATCTAAGGAAAGACTCCGCTCGCTTCGCTCGCTCCGTAACTATTTTAATAGAATCCGTCTGTCTGTGAGTGTGTCCGCACATCGTGTAGTGGGTTCAATTAACCTCGCCTACAGTACAGTACAGTACAGTACAGTGTATTTGTAAGGATGAGCTTCGTGTATGTTCCGGTAGATGTCAGCAGGTCAGCCGGGAGGTGCTGCCACCTACGGGAGACGTAGCGGGAGGTAGCGGCGGCCGCGCATGGGCAATGGAAGTCTGGGCTTGGTGGAGATTGGTTGTGCGAGTCTGGTGCGCCGTGCTTGTGCGCAATACACTCTGTGCTCTTGGAACTTGACGTCTTGGCCACGTGCCAGAGAGCAGAGAAGACCACGCCTAGACCACGCCTACATATTTACAGGCCATTCCACATGGTGGGTTAATGTCATGCCTGAGTCAAAATACATAAATGAGACATCGATTAAAAAGAAAAGGGTGAAAAAGAAGCACGATGCACACTGATGAGTAAACATAAAAATTAAAAGCACGTATCCAGTAAACGTAAACAATCAGCTCGCGTTTCGGAGCTGGTGGCGGCCGACGGCAGGCGGTTCCAGGACGAGGTCGCCCGGTAAGAAAGGCGCGACGCGACATGGCCAGCAGCCGAAAGCCCGGAGGCTCCAGCATACCAGCCACTGTCGCTCGGGTGGTTCGCTGGCAATGTCCGTGAAGTTGGCGACGTCGCCAGCGACTTTTCCAGCGACGAGCACCGATTTTAGCCAAAACCTCGTCCAAGGTCAATTGGACCATGAGGATCACGAAAATCGAACCAATTCTCCCCTAAACCTTGACCTTCAAGGTCAAATTCAAGGTCAAAGGACGGGTAACTGAAAAAGTGCCAGTAAATATTGTCCGATCTTCAAAATTTTGGCACCAAAATGTAGCGCGTGCAAAGTTCTAGCCGCACATCGAAAACCATTTTCATCGAGGTCAAACTTCAAGGTCAAATTCAAGGTCAAAGGACGGGGAACTGAAAAAATGCCAGTAAATATTGTCTGATTTTCAAAATTTTGGCACCAAAATGTAGCGCGTGCAAAGTTCTAGCCGCACATCGAAAACCATTTTCATCAAGGTCAAACTTCAAGGTCAAATTCAAGGTCAAAGGACGGGGAACTGAAAAAGTGCCACTAAATATTGTCCGACTTTCAAAAATATGGCACCAAAATGTAGCGCGTGCAAAGTTCTAGCCGCACATCAAAACCATTTTCATCAAGGTCAAACTTCAAAGTCAAATTCAAGGTCAAAGGACGGGGAACTGCAAAAGTGCCACTAAATATTGTCCGATTTTCAAAATTTTGGCACCAAAATGTAGCACGTGCAGAGTTCTAGCCGCACATCGAAAACTATTTTAATCAAGGTCAAACTTCAAGGTCAAATTCAAGGTCAAAGGACGGGGAACTGAAAAAGTGCCACTAAATATTGTCCGATTTTCAAAATTTTGGCACCAAAATGTAGCGCGTGCAAAGTTCTAGCCGCACATCGAAAACCATTCGTCAGCTCGCTTCTCTTCTACTTTCGATGGAAACGATGGAGGTTCTATTCCGATGGATTCCAGCGTCCACAGCCGCTCCCTGTCTTCTTTGGGTGTCCCAGCGTGTAGAAACATCACGCTTTGGTCAGGAGCTGTCCCATCGGTGGTTGCTCGTCCTCCCAGCACCCAACCGAATATTGTCTCCCAGGCGACTGGACCATCCTCTCCAGTTGTCACAGGACCATTCACGATATCCTGATAGTAATCCATGCCGATTAGGACGTCGATATCATCGGAGTGCCATTCAGCCGGAGAATCGGCAAGGACTAGGTCTTTCAGAGGTTTGTACCTTTCCAGGTCGACCGGCGCCTCATTGAGTGGGCCGCAGATGCGGTCGATTTCTGAGACGGTCTGGTTCACATATTTCATGGGGTCGCGTGTGTTCATCAGGGTGATGTTGACCGACCTCATACGCTTCTGTGCCATGCGATTTCCACCGAATGTTGATATTGTTTTTTGCTGCGTACCGCGCTGTTCACACTTCAGCTCCTGAGAGAGACCGGTCGATATGAATGATTGGTTGGATCCGGTGTCCAGGAGGAGTCTGATATTCTTGTTGCCGGCGGGTCCAACAGCCACCGCCCGAGCTGTTTGAAACAGAACCCTCTTTTTCTCCACGACCTGTGACTGCGCCGCAATAATCGACTCTACAGGCTGTTCTTCGGCACACAACGTAATGTGATGTCTTTTACCACAGCTATCACACCGCTTCTCGTCGTTGCATGTCCGTGCGATGTGCGATGGGCCCAAACAGTTGAAACAGGCCCCAGCGGCGAGAAGCCGTCGCCGACGCTCATCCACAGATAGCGTTTCGGTCTTCTTGCATTGCACGGTTTCGTGTCCTAAGAGACAGAAGGCACACATCGGCGTTTTCTTGGTCATGACCTAAAGTGCAGCGGCGGATGAATTCACCGGTACCAGCGTCGCTTGGGAGGGGACCCTCCAGCTGCGCTTCTGACTGGCACCCTTTTCTGTCATGCGCATGCTGTGAAGGGTCTGCCCGCTGGCTGTCAAGAATTGTTCGGCGGCACATGAGATTTCCTCTAACGTACCGTGGCCGTTCCGTTTCAAGAAGAGCTCTAGTTCTTTTGGGCACGCCGAGAGGAACTGTTCAATGAGCGTCAGCTATCTGAGACCATCCAGCGAAGCCCGAATTTCGCTCAGCGACATCCACTTCTCCAGGTAGGTAGTCAGGCGAGTGATGTACTGGCCCAGCGTCTCGTCTGGTTCTGGAGGAGATTCACGTAGTCGCTTGCGGAAGCCTTCGGCAGTTAAGCCAAATCGTTTCAGTAATGCCTCTTTGAGTACGTCGTAATCATCTGCTTCTTCTGCGCTCAATCGATGGTACACTTCTAGGGCTTTTCCAGTTAGAAGTGCACTGAGTCATCTCGGTCCCTCCCAATCACTCGCCTGTGCTATTCTTTCAAACCGGGTTAGATAGGATATGTCTATATCTTCATTTTCTTCGTATGGAGGGAGTTTCGGCAACTTTCTGGAAGTTACAGGCTGGTTCACTTTGGAGCTATTACTTAGACGAAGCTTTTCGAGTTCGAACTGTCTTTCTTTCTCCCTTTCCTCACGTTCTCGTTCTTTTTCACTTTCTTCACTGTCCTTCTCTCTCACGAGTCTTCTTTCTTCCCGTTCCTGGCCCTTTTCATACTGCTTTGCTGCGAATTCTAAGGCTTCCAGTCCAGATAGACCATGGTTTGCAGCTAGTTCTACGTAGCGATCCATTTTCTATCACAGTGTCCTGTCACGGTCGCCAAATTATGTGGCAGATCCAGCGTTTATGTGTAATTGAATACGTCAATCAAAGTTTTGAAATGCTATTTACTCGTTAGTGTGAATTATCTTAATTCATTTTTCTTTCATTATTAATGCATCAAGTTTCCTGTTCGTCCGTTTTATTCCGGCCTGATTCTGTCTCAATCCGTCCCTAAAATTCCCAGACAAAAATGTACAATTTCAGATACACAATCCCGAGGTGCTATTCTGTCAGGCGCTTCCGCCAGACAGTCGATAATGAAATTCAAACTCGCCGAGCTGTAACAACCTGTACTCTAATAGTTATTAAAACAAAGTTAGGTTGCTAATCAATTGCAATGTTGCAAAGGCTGCCACAAGGTTTGCTGCGCCGGCGTACTGACCGGACATTTTGAAGTCGGAGTCGTGAGCGACGCCACGGCCGCGGCGTGGCGCCGGGTCCGAGCCCGGCTCTGAGTCGGAGCCGCTCGAGGCGTGCTTGTAGCGTTTGATGGCCCTGCGCGCCGCTTGCCTCACTGTGGAGCACAGAGAAGAGGCAGCGTCAAAGTCGGTCTGCGCACCCGCTGGCACCTGGCGCGGCCCACGGCCAGAGCAAAGGTCAAAACAGATGTCGGAACAGTCGGAAGGACGGCAGTCAAGGGCAGTAGATCTGAGGAAATGCTAGGTCGCTCAATAAGTAAGGTAAAATGTACCATAGTCACTGGCGGATCCAGGGGGGGGGGGGGGTCGGCAGGGACTAAAGCCCCCCCCCCCCATTCGAAACTCGACAGGGGCGGCAATATAAATTAACCCCCCGCCCCCAAATGCACCGGGGTTGGTCAATAGAATGATTGATTGCTGGTAAGTTCCAGCCTTCGATAGTGAGGTTCCTTTAGAAATTCCTTTCCGCTGTTAAGTTGGTAGCGATTTGGCAGTTATTCAAGGATGGAAAAGTGGCACCCAACTGACTTTCAGCGTCGGAGATTTATCCTAGGTAAACTTTTTTGGGACACCCTGTACAATTGTGACAGATTGCTGGCTGTAAAACGACCATCGACGCAAATGCTTACGGTCAGTAAAATTGGAAGTGGGAAATAGCTCTAAAAATGGGGATGAGAGTGCAAAATGTTTTTCATTTGGATGTCAGTTCGCACCCAAATCGACAAATTTTGGGATACTGCAGTGTGACCTGGACTGGAATGTCAGCCAATGACCAATAACCCTAAAATCGGGTAGGTATGTCAGTCTGCGCCTGACCCCGGACGGGGCCGGTCGTGTTTTCGTGGCGGGAATGCGGCGCGAGTGAGGGCGGAGCGGCCGCGGGCGGGGCCGGTCGGCCGGTTAACAGCGTGCCCGAGACTGCGCCTCAGACAATTACCGGGGTTACATGAGCGATCCGTTCCAAATACGCACTACGGTAATGCGCATCAGCTCCCCAAAAACGTATCTACGGCACCGGTTACATGAGACTAATTCGTTTTATCTACCTCAAACGGATCTTCGTTTGGCTCACCCGGGCTCACTCCTCGACGGCCGGTTATTCGCATCACAAACGGAATAGGATTAGCGTACAGTCATGGCGCAGTTGCGGCATTTACCGGGACGACTGAACTAAATTTTAAATATTTATATCATTTGATAGGCTCAAAAACATTTAAAATTAACATGAAATCAAAAAATGAAAACAAAGTTTTCCTGTTTTAAGTCACTGTGCACAGATTCGCCATGCAGCGAGAGCAGGGTGGTCAGAAAAAAATTATCTATCAAAATATTTCATTCATTTTATTTTTGATCTTTATCAAATTCACCTTCAAAGACTAAACCGAAATACCAACATTTCTTTTTGCTATTTTCTACGAGGCAGCCAATAAAAAATGCTTAGTATTTTGCATTTTGACGCTTCCATTCAGCAAAGAATAGTTCTTGTGAAATACGGCCCGAATCGTGTGCCTCGGCTACATGAGCGATCCGTTCCAAATACGCACTACGCTAATTCGCATCAGCTCCCCAAGAACGCATTCAGTGCACCGACTAACTACATGAGCAAATTCGTATCAGTGACGTCAAAAGGATCCAGTTTGGCTCTCGGCCTGACGGAAGGTAATGCGCACTTCAAACGGAATAGCATACAAATGTGGCGCACTTCCGTAGCAATAGAGGTGACTGAATTAAAAACTTAATATCTTATGTCTTTTTTGCATTTAATCTGCTCAAAACATTCTCAATTAACTTAACCCGCGCCCCGCTGGGGGGATCTGCCCCCCCCCCTCCCGTTTTTCGCCAATAACTTCTAAACGCGTTACGCCAGCGACGTCAAACTTTCAGTACCTTTTCATACATCAATTTGACACGTTCCCTGAAAATTTGAGCGAAATCCGTCGGAATTTTTTTGAGAAATTGACGTTTTAGTGACGTCATGTTCGCCATTTTCGCAAATTTTCAAACGCCGCTAACATCTTCATTTTTAAAGGAATCAAGACGTAACAAAAAAGGTTATACGTGATTTCACTTTGTCTATCAAATGGCTATCTCGGTTTTTTGAAAATTTTGGATTTTGGCCCAAATTAAAAAAAAACTGACTTTTTTGGGAAAATAATGATACAATCCAAAATTTTGAGTGTATCGAAAAAAACGGAATATATGTCAGAGAAGTGGTCTATGTGCACCTACATACCAATTTTTAGAAGAATCGGTTCAAAAATGTGGGAGTTATTCAAAATTTTATGACGTCACGACACAAAAAAATTTGGGAAAATGATTTTTTTGGAAGTTCTAGACCTCGTACGGAAACAAAAATAGCACCATTCGATTCGCCGTGAAAAACTGCATCAGATAGACACCTTTTTAGGCCTTAAAAACCAACTTCAAAATTTGACCTCACTTGACCTGACCTTGACCTGACCTCGACCTGGAATTCATCCAGAGGTGGTCCATATCACTTATTGAGTGTGCCTATTGAATTCTATGGGTAAAATGGCCCATAAAACATGTGTCGCATATGCCCTTTTCTATATTTTGTTTTTGGTGACCTGACCTGACCTGACCTGACCTTGACCTTGACCTTTGAATGACATTGTATGCAACGAATATTGTCTTGGTAGTCTAAGAACACGTTTTGGGCAATCAGTCTCAGTCCATTCTTCGGCAGCTACGGTGCAAGGCCGATACTGTAGAAACTTGCATTTTGTATCCTTGACCTGACCTTGACCTGACCTCTGACCTACTTAAGCAAAAAAAATGGGCTCTTAAGATCCGCCTTGTTGAGAGCTTTCGATTGCCGTTTTCCCCGTCTTTCTACGACCATCGGTTCGGAAGTTAGACGGGGGGGGGGGCAGAATCTGCCCCCCCCCCCCCCAGCAGGGCGCGTATGGCTGAATAGCCCAGCGGGGCGCGGGTTAACAAAAAAAAATTAAACATAAAGTTGTCTTGCTTTGACTCATTGAGCACTTGCCTCTCTTGATTCGTCTGTAGTGCTGTCAGAAAAATGTTTCAACTGAAAGTATTTTGATATTTTCTTTCTGGTTTTCACTATATTTATTTTAGAAAACTTGACAAAATACAGACATATTTTTTTAATTATTATTTCAAAAGAAGCAAATGAAAAAAATACCTATTATTTTGCATCTTAATGTTTCTTTTTGGAAAGAAATAGTTCCTGTAATACGTATCTTGGTCCTATTCGCTTCTAAGCCTCTTTCCCAGCGGATTTTGTTCGGACCGCCGATTCGTATTAGCAGGTGGATACATGAGTCGGTAGTACGCTCCTGATTCGCATTAGCGGTGAATCCGATCGTGATACGTATTTGCTTTGCTCATGTAACCGCGGATCGGATCGCCGATTCGTACTAGCAGGTGGCTACATGAGTCGGTAATGCGTTCCTAATTCGAATTAGCGGCTAAATACGTATTTACTGTGCTCATGTAACCCCGATAAGTGAAACGAGCCGCGAGTGAGCGAGAAAAGTCTGAAGTGTGTACGTGGCAAGCCGAACTGTGCAATGAGTTCGGAATCTGAGAGTGAGGGTGGAGCCAATGCTGCATCTCAATCTGGCTCCGATAGTGCCGCGGGCCGGAAACGACAGCTATCCGCGTGCCCGACATGGTGCGTCAAGTCGAGCAGAAACGGGCCGGGCAGCAGCGAGTCCGCCAGTTCATCTCACCGCGTGCCTCGGGACATCAACAGCTGCTCAGCGAGTCCGTCACTTTGGAGGCTATCGAGAGATTGATTGAGACGGGGAATGCTAAGATGATCACGGTCCTGGACGCCAAATTTGAGCGCTTTGAGCGGCGACTAGAGGTTCTGGAATCAGAGAGTTTCGAAAAAGATCTCGTCATACAGCGACTCCAAGACGAAGTGATGACACTGCGAAAGCAAAGGACAGAGATGGGAGAGCGGTTAGGAGGAATTGACATGAACCGTAGATTGTCTTCACTGATCCTAACGTGCGACGATTTCGGGCTTCGCTCGTGCAACGAGGATATCGAGGAGATGACTATACAACTGCCCAATCAACGTCTTCCCGACCTGAGACTTACAACAAACGATATCCAGGTTGCACATCGTTTGCAGAACGACAGTAAGGTCATCGTGCAGTTTTTCAAGCGCCGCGTAAGGGACAATGTCTACGAGCGTCGATTCAAACTGTTTTCCCGGGGCGGCGGCAGCGACGCCCGGGCCGAGCGGGACCGCGGTGCTTCCTCCGGTCTCCGAGAGAGGGCACCACTTTACATAGCCGAGTCGCTAGTGCCGAGGATGCAGAAAATGTTCCAGACGCTTCTCGCGGCGCGCAGGAAGGAGAATGGGGCTAAAATCGCGTCTGTTTTTAGCCGGCGAGGTCACGTTTACTGCAAAAAGGAAAGAGGAGGCGAAAACATTCGCGTTAAAGACGAGGATCACCTACGGCAGCTGCTGGGCGGCGTCATGCCACTGCTGCCGGGAAGCCGTGGCGGCGGCCGCGGCGGCGCCGCGGACGTTGATGAGCGTCGGACTGGGGCCGTGGCTGCCGCCCCTGCTGACGGGATGCCGGTCGCCCGTGCGGCGGACGGGGAGCTCGTGCCACAGGAGACTGCGGGTGGCGCAGTGGCAGCTGGACGGGACCAGGAGGGAGGACGGGCGGTGGATGACGGTGCTGGTCCGGTGGGCGGTGGGCCCGGGCCGGTGGAAGCGGGTGGCGGCTTTGGCTCGTCGGTCGGCGGGAGTGCCAGTAAAGGACAGCTGACGGCTGGCACGTCTTTTCGAGCGGGCCCGGCGCCGGCGCGTGGGCGACGGGGCGCCGCGGGAGCCCGCTCCGGAGCAGTGGAGACCGAGCCAGTGTTGGCGGGCTCCGGGCGGCTTGGAGGACCTTGGCGCTAGGGAGCTGCTAAGCCTGGTGATGTTCGATTCGGGAATGACCATAAAGCCTGATCGGGTAAGACCGTTTCTGTTGTAATGCTGCCACAGCTACTTATGTCGTACAATGTAGGTACAGGTGGTTGATGTTAGGATTTTGTGACAGGCAGAACAGCTAACGAGATGATTGGCTAAGGTAACAGTGAC